TCTTTAATTCCTAGAAAACGATCTAACTAAAAAAAAATATAAGTTCTTTTAATCACAACTTATCATATTATATATTAAAATATTATCTCATAATACTTGAACTTTAACTCTTTTTCATTTTCATTTCCCTTACATTCCCACTCAAATAATTGACCACCTCATCTCCTTCATTCTACTCTTGCAATTGATTACTTCTTTCTCTCAATCCACCATTCAATCTCCTCCATTACCTCAAACTTTGATTCATCGTGCTCTTTTGGGGTGCTCTTTTGGGAAGCTGATAGAAAGCCAACTTCTAACTTTTTACTAATTTTGGGTCACATCACATCTCACATAACTTATCCACAAAAAGACAAAATAAGTCAAAAAAGTCAAAAAATCAACTTCTTACCGTTTCCCAAAACACCCCAATATTATCTCTAATACATAACAAATGTAATTTTTTATTTTTATCTATCTAATATAAAATTAGTTTTTGATACTAGTGTTTTCGGGTAGGAAAGATTTTATGGACCAAAGTAAGAAATTTAATTTTTGAAATTTCTAAATTACCACTTAATTGTTGCAAAAGTTGATAATTGAACAAAAATAAATAATTTAGGGACCAAAATGGGATTTTTTTTAACCTATATTTTAGAGAATAAAAGTATAATTTATCCTTTTTAGTTTTAATTTTTGGTGGTGTTATGGAACTGATAACAAACAAAAGAATTAAGGAGGTTCAATCAAACTACACCAACAATGATTTTGGTGCACGGTGGCATACAAAAAATTTAATTAAAATATTTATAACATATTTAAGTAGTATCAATTAAGATCTCATTTTTATTTCATTGTGTGAAAAGTGATATTATTTTAAAACCTGTGAGATATCCAAGAGGGGCCAAAGTGCACGGTTAATAAAATTTAGGTGAAAACAATTTTACCAAAACAGGGTTTGAAGGAGTTAGTTGGGGTTTTGAATAGGTGGCTTCTTCCAAATAATTCGGCGTGCCATTGCTTTAACTGCAGGGTTATGGGCCAGTTAGTGTGGATTGGGGTCCTCTTGATTTTTATTTCTTGCTTTGGCCTATGCTTCATTTGTAAAAAAAATAAAATAATAATAAAGTAAAAATTTATCCATTTCTTGGAGATATGACATTAGGTCTAAAGATTGATTTGTTACAAAAATAAAGACATGATTAATGAAATTATTTAGTGAGAATCACAAATTATTGTTTTGAATAATTTTTTCTTTTATTTTTATCTCATTGCAGCTAGATCATAGCCAGACCACCATCAGTGCCGAAAAAGTTGTCGGAAAAGTTACTATGGTAATGATGTAAACAGATAGGTAGATTAGATTTGCATATAGATAACACGTGAACAAATAAAAGATGTCACGTGGACAAATAGTTAGACATATTAGATGATACTTTGACAAATAGATGACGTGGATAGATAGATGGATAGATTATGATGATATAATATTTTTCAAATTGTTTTGTCATTTTGATCCCGAAAGAATATACCTCGAGACAATAACTATAAAAATTTAAAAATTATACTTATAACCCAAATATCCAAAGACAAAAAGGCTTGAAGGAAGGATATGCATCTCCTAATCACCAAAAGCTCGATCACCCACGCAATCTAATGTGGATGGAAGGAGCGAGTAACAATTATGTTTGGGAAGGTTATTATTATATATTACTGGAATATTTTATCCAAAACTTTACATCTTATTTGTTTTTCATGTGTGATAGCAACTCACACCTATTACTATTATTATTATTATTATTATTTGTATTGCTACATACATACTCATAATTTGTGTTAGAATCTTCTCCACAAAAACAATGTGTGATTTAGATGTATTTTAACTATGAATTTCAACATAAAGAGTTGAATATGATTTAGACACATTTTATCTATAGATTTTAGCACGAGAGAGTTAAATATATGCACAAATTTTTATTATGTAACTTTATGCATTATTACCATAAATATATATATACAACTTTATACATTATTTTTTAAATCTGATAAATTTTAAAACATACATTTTCAATTTATTATGTAGACATAAAAATTGCTGTTAAACATTATTTGATCTAACAAAACCAAAAAAAAAGTCTTAAACCGGGTCTATGTGAACCCATTAACACAGTCCGCAAAAAAAAACAAAAAACAGTCCTAAACCGGGTCTATGGAGCCCATTAACAGAGTCCCAAAAAGTGGATGCACCAGCCGGGAATCGAACCCGGGTCTGTACCGTGGCAGGGTACTATTCTACCACTAGACCACTGGTGCTTATTGGTCACCACCATTTCATGTTTAATATATAATAATATATAGATTAAATTTTAAGCCCCAATTTTTACTATTCCATTTGTTTTAGATTTTTTCTGCTCCAATTAAAAGATTTCAGTTTGTTTAAAATAAAATAAGTAGAAGAAGGAGAAAAAAATTAATTTATGAGTTTGTTTAGCTTAAAAGGGATAAAAAGTAGAAGAAAATTAATTTTTTTTGTACAACCCACATTAGTATTGTAACTAATTTTAAATTTCTTGTAAAAAAATACAACAAAATTTGAATGTGTGAGTTATCTTACAAAAGTTCCATCTTAATCAAATGTTTGCAAGAAAATATTTTTCTATTTTTTTTCTTTCACCTTCAGTTTCTATCAAATTTCCTTCTAATCAAACAAAGCCTTGGGCAAAAAATGAACAAGAAAAATTAATTGGACAAGTCAAATTTCAAATCAAAATCTTTGGGTGTGTTTGGTTTGATTTTGAGAGAGTGATTTTCAAACAAAGTTTTGGGGAGAGAGTTTAAAAATTTTTTTGGTTTGTTTAGTTATATATTTTGAAAGTAATTTTGGAATTTGAGAGTTTGAAATGATTTGATATTTTGTTGTAATTGAGTAGATGTATGTGAGAGAAAAAGTGATTGAGAAGGAGAGAGGAAGGAGAAAAAGTGATTGATTGATGTGTAAGAAAGAGAGTAATTTTGAAAAATTTTTGAGAAAATTCTCGAACCAAACAATTTTTTGGAATTTTTTTTCCAAAACTCCTCTCCCAAAGCTAAACCAAGCACACCCTTAATTTCTCACCCTACATATATACCTTTTGTTTCACCATCTTCACAACCTTACTACTAATTTCATTTCTACATCACCACTCACCCTCTCCCCACCACCATTGTTGCTGACACCCATCTTCTTCATCAGCACTACTTTCCCTCCCAATTGCCACCACCAACTATCCCTTTCCCAACCCTCCACAATTACATTATTACCCCCCACTCTCCTCTCTTATCTTGCCATTCTCAAAACCCCCTTACTTGCCGCCTCCCCTCCCCAGCCACCCCTTTCAACCCCCTAATATATTATGTAATTCTACTGGTTAAATACATTATATGATACCTAACTAACGATAAATTGGTAAAATTAATCAGAACTTTATTTTCCGAACATCAAAAAAAACATAGAACCAACACCATTTATTCACATGCATAGTTCTAGGATTTTTTTAATGACTTTTATTTATATATTAGAAAAGAGTTTTAAGTTAATTTTATCAATTTATCCTTTAGACTAGTCCTATGTCGTGTAGTTAATTTTCAAAAACGAACTGAATGCTAGGACTAAATTAAATCAATGTGACCATATTAGCATGTTGAATTAGGGTTCTAGAACTATTAAAATTTAAAATTTTGGTTAAACTACCAAAATTTGCATACAACAAAATTTGCAATTGAATTATAAAATCATAAGTAAATATACATAACAACATTTTCTTAATTTAGTGACATTTGAAAGTGCCACAAAATTATTCTTCTAATGACATTTTTTAGCCTTGTGATATTTTGAACAAGTGCTATTTATATCCGTGCCACGGTAGATACTTGTTAGTGTCACTACACGATCATGACTAAAAACTTTCAATGACATTTTGATGTCATGATAGATACTATTTGTGACATTACCAAGTGTCATTAAAAAAAGAGTTGTGGCACTTCAGTGGCACTTGTAAGTGTCATTACACCATCAAGGTTAAAAATTTTCAGTGACACTTTAATGTCATGGTAGACACTATTTGTGACGCTATCAAGTGCCATTAAAGGAAACTTGCAATCTAAAAAATACCGCTATATGAATTTTTAATAGCGCTTATTATGCCACAATTGATATTTTTAACAATTTCATAAATGTCACTAAATCCAATTCATTTGTGACATTAAATAGATATAAGCGCCATTAAAACTTATTTTAGTGACACTTTGCAAAGCTACTATCAATACTACAAAATGCCACTTATATGTTCTTTTTATTAACACTTTTAAAAGTATAAGCATGCGTAAATGCCTGTAAAAATTGAATCAATTTTATAAACAAATGAATATTAATTGCCACATCCTATATTAATTTGACATCCATTCATCCTGTAATATTTTTATAATAATAAATAAATATTACCACCACAGGATCATCACATCAAAAACAAAACAACAAAAAAAACAAAATTCAAACCACAATCAATTATTTATTATTGAAATATAAATTTTGTATATTGCAATAAAAATCTCTTGACAAAATTATAAAATATTCTACTACACTAACAAAGTTTAAGTAAAAAAATTTAAAAGAAAATTATTCCAACCATAAATTCTGAAAAGCCATAGTGATATCTATCTTCCGGAGAGACAAATTATCAAAATAAAATTATTTCTCAAATTTTCAACCTCACTTGTATAAATATTCTCAACTAGTATCTATAACTTGCGAAATCTGCATCCAAAAGATAAACATATAAAGGTAATTGAAACTATATTAAATTAATATAAATTTGTTAATGAAATTAGTATTTACGAAAAAAATATATCACAAATGGAGCAGGCCAGGCAACATAAGCTCTAATAGCTTGTCCAACAATTTTGACAAGTCCATATGATCAGATCAAGCTCTCATTAGGTTTGACTGGCACTTGAACATATACCTCTCAATAGTTAGATCCTAGTTCTTCCCTTTCTACTTCTTCAAATGCGTCTGTGCTTTTAAGTACTCTAATTGCAACTGTTTCTGTTGGCCTAATGATACTTTTTAGAATAACTATATCTCCCACCTATAAATCAAGATTTAACTACATAAGTAATTATATATTTAAAATTAATAAATAATATTTAAAAAATAAACCAATACAAAGTGCCACAGTAAAGATGATCACAACTAAAAGTGATATGCATTTCTCTAGTGAATAAGCAAGCCAAATGATTTAATTACTTAATTGGTTCACCACACTACAACAAACTATATAAAAATAACAACCATAAATTTTTAGACCATATCAAACAATAGCTTAAAAAATCAATAACACAATTTAAAGAAATTACCTCTCTCATTTAAAAAAATTTGCATTTAAAAATTACCTCTATTAAAAAAATTCTATATATGTATCATTTGGGCTCTCATTTGACAAATTTGCATTTAAAGTTGTCATCTCATTCATTTCATCCTATAAGATTGCAATAAATATAACTTCATATATACATTTCAATCACTAACACTATAATGTGGGAATTTTAACTAATCTACAAGTTCAAATGGACAAATAATTATTTGATACATACTATCATTGCTTTTGTTGCCTCGTTGGTTCTAGTCTCTTTTGTAGTGTTACTAGGTGAAATGTAAATATATTTTATTCACATTTCATTTCCCTTTTCATTTTTTCTTTTCAAATTTCTTCCCAAATCTCTCAACCAAACACAATGTAAACAAACACAACAATAAATTTTGGAAGCTTTGACACAAATTACGCATCTAATAAATAGTACTTCAAAAGAAAATATGGCTATATTTGGTAGAGTTTTTAAACAATTTTGCACGTAAGCATCACAGTAACATAAAACAGAAACAAATTCTCATTTGGTTTGTCGTTCTCTTACTGAAACAGTATTCGGAAAATCAAGTAAAAAATAACCAATTTTCATGAAACATCCAAAAATTACTTTTTGTTCTCAGTTTTTCTTTTCCAGTTACAGTATTAAGATGACCAAAAACACCAAGTTCACAAAATTTTTCACAATGTTTATAAATTTTTCTTTTGTCTTCTAATATTTGATTTGTAAAATCTATGCCAAACTGGCCCATATCTCAGAACATAATGCAGGTCAATGGATATAGTTTATCTTAAATTTGACATGACTATCTCTATCCCAAATTTTCTTTCCTTCCAAAGAAAAACTAGTCCTTTCACGTAAAAACTGCCTCTTTACATTTCATCCGATTCAAACAAAACAACAACTCACTATAATTTCAATTGAAACATCTAGGTCATATAAAATTAACAAATGAGCAACGATTTCGATTTTAAAAAATGGGAATACGAAAAACAACGAATAATCATTGAATATGAGCTAGAATAGTTGATTACATCAAGAAAGCTATAGATTCAACAGATAAAGAAGATCTGAAACTCAAAATTGAAGTTTAGGATGAAACCAGTGTGAGAAATTAGGGTTTTTTATGGAGCAAATGGACTTACCTTGGACTCGAAGACTTCAAGAGTGTGAAGACCTCTCTCTCTCTCTCTCTACCTCTGCCCAGCGAGGGCGTGTTTCTCGGGGGAGTTTCCACAGAAGAGAGAGAAGGAGACACAGAGGCAGAGCTGAAAACCAAAACGAGGAACAACGTTGTGCTCGATTTTGCACTTTGCCCCCACAATATTTTGTAGTATTTCCAATTTTGGCCTGTTTTGGCATCTGAATTAAAAGTAAATTTTTTTTTAACTTTTTCACTTTTTTTTAAATCATATCACCTTCTCATTTTTTTTTACATGCCTGTGTGCACAGAGTTCTCTGCAGAGAGTGTAGAAAATTGATTTGAAAACGTAACCAAACATCATGCTCCAAAACACACGTAGAAAATTGATTTGAGAATACAAACAAACAGAGCCAAATTTTGGTTGAACTACCAAAATTTGCATACAACAAAATTTGCAATTGAATTATAAAATCATAAGTAAATATACAAAACAACATTTTCTTAGTTTAGTGACATTTGAAAGTGCCACAAAATTATTCTTCTAATGGCATTTTTTAGCCTTGTGATATTTTGAACAAGTGCCATTTATACCCGTGCCACGGTAGATACTTGTTAGTGTCACTACACGATCATGGCTAAAAACTTTCAATGACATTTTGATGCCATGATAGATACTATTTGTGACATTACCAAGTGTCATTAAAAAAAGAGTTGTGGCACTTGTAAGTGTCATTACACTACCAAGGTTAAAAATTTTCAGTGACACTTTAATGTCATGGTAGACACTATTCGTGACGCTATCAAGTGCCATTAAAGAAAACTTGCAATCTAAAAATTGCCGCGATATGAATTTTTAATAGCACTTATTATGCCACAATTGATATTTATAACAATTTCATAAATGTCACTAAATCCAATTCATTTGTGACATTAAATGGATGCCATTAAAACTTATTTTAGTGACACTTTGCAAAGCTACTATCACTACTACAAAATGCCACTTATATGTTCTTTTCATTAACACTTTTAAAAGTTACAACTAAGCATGCGTAAATGCCTGTAAAAATTGAATCAATTTTATAAACAGTTGAATATTAATTGCCGCATCCCATATTAATTTGAAATCCATTCATCCTGTAATATTTTTATAATAATAAATAAATATTACCACCATAGGATCATCACATCAAAAACAAAAAAACAAAAAAAAAAATTCAAACCACAATCAATTATTTATTATTGAAATATAAATTTTGTATATTGCAATAAAAATCTCTTGACAAAATTATAAAATATTCTACTACACTAACAAAGTTTAAGTAAAAAAAATTTAAAAGAAAATTATTCCAACCATAAATTCTGAAAAGCCATAGTGATATCCATCTTCCGGAGAGACAAATTATCAAAATAAAATTATTTCTCAAATTTTCAACCTCACTTGCATAAATATTCTCAACTAGCATCTATAGTTTGCGAAATCTGCATCCAAAAGATAAACATATAAAGGTAATTGAAACTATATTAAATTAATATAAATTTGTTAATGAAATTAGTATTTACGAAAAAAATATATCACAAATGGAGCAGGCCAAGCAACATAAGCTCTAATAGCTTGTCCAACAGTTTTGACAAGTCCATATAATTAGATCAAGCTCTCATTAGGTTTGACTGACACTTGAACATATACTTTTCAATAGTTAGATCCTAGTTCTTCCCTTTCTACTTCTTCAAATGCATCTGTGCTTTTAAGTACTCTGATTGCAACTGTTTCTATTGGCCTAATGATACTTTTTAGAATAACTATATCTCCCCCCTGTAAATCAAGATTTAACTACATAAGTAATTATATATTTAAAATTAATAAATAATATTTAAAAAATAAACCAGTACAAAGTGCCACAATAAAGATGATCACAACTGAAAGAGATATGCATTTCTCTAGTGAATAAGCAAGCCAAATGATTTAATTACTTAATTGGTTCACCACACTACAACAAATTATATAAAAATAACAACCGTAAATTTTTAGACCATATCAAACAATAACTTAAAAAATCAATAACACAATGTAAAGAAATTACCTCTCATTTAAAAAAATTTGCATTTAAAAATTACCTCTATTAAAAAAATTCTATATATGTATCATTTGGGCTCTCATTTGACAAATTTGTATTTAAAGTTGTCATCTCATTCATTTCATCCTGTAAGGTTGCAATAAATATAACTTCATATATACATTTCAATCACTAACACTATAATGTGGGAATTTTAACTAATCTACAAGTTCAAATAGACAAATAATTATTTGATACATACTATCATTGCTTTTGTTGCCTTGTTGGTTCCAGTCTCTTTTGTAGTGTTACTAGGTGAAATATAAATATATTTTATTCACATTTCATTTCCCTTTTCATTTTTTCTTTTCAAATTTTTTTCCAAATCTCTCAACCAAACACAATGTAAAGAAACACAACAATAAATTTTGGAAGCTTTGACACAAATTACACATCTAATAAATAGTACTTGTTTGATTCCACAAGACTAATAGTGAGGTATTAACAATCCTATTAAATTAGTGTGGTATTCACAATCCCACCCCTACCCCATTACTAATAATCCTACAAATTTGTTGGATTAATTATCCATTGGATTAATAATCCCAAAACAAAATATCAAAACAAACATGGGATAATTGGGCCCACGGATTAATAATCCCAATCCCATGTTCTAATCCTTCCAATCAAACATGCCACAAAAGAAAATATGGCTATATTTGGTAGAGTTTTTAAACAATTTTGCGCGTAAGCATCACAGTAACATAAAACAGGAACAAATTCTCATTTGGTTTGTCGTTCTCTCAGTGAAACAGTATTCGGAAAATCAAGTAAAAAATAACCAATTTTAATGAAACATCCAAAAATTACTTTTTGTTCTCAGTTTTTCTTTTCCAGTTAGAGTATTAAGATGACCAAAAACACCAAGTTCACAAAATTTTTCACAATGTTAATAAATTTTTCTTTTGTCTTCTAATAATTGATTTGTAAAATCTATGCCAAACTGGCCCATATGTCAGAACATAATGCATGTCAATGGATATAGTTTATCTTAAATTTGACATAACTATCTCTATCCCAAATTTTCTTTCCTTCCAAAGAAAAACTAGTCCTTTCATGTAGAAACTGCCTCTTTACATTACATCCGATTCAAACAAAACAACTCACTACAATTTCAATTGAAACATCTAGGGCATATAAAATTAACAAATGAGCAATGATTTCGATTTTTAAAAATGGGAATACGAAAAACAACGAATAATCATTGAATATGAGCTAGAATAGCTGATTACATCAAGAAAGCTATAGATTCAACAGATAAAGAAGATCTAAAACTCGAAAATATTGAAGTTTAGGATGAAACTAGTGTGAGAAATTAGGGTTTTTTGTGGAGAAAATGGACTTACCTTGGACTCGAAGGCCTTGTTTAGTTTGTATTTGAGAAACATGTTTTGAGATAAAAAGTACGAAAATTTGTTTGGTTTGGTTTTTTTTCAAAAGATGTTTTGAAAAATTATTTTGAGAGAGAGTTTTGGTAAAAAGTGATTGATTTGATGTGTATGAGAGAGAGATTTGTTTGGAAAATTTGTAAACCAAACAAATTTTGGAAAATTTTTTTGAAAAAATTTGTTTGGTTTGATTACTTTTGAAAACTTATTTGTAGAGAATTTTTCCTAAATTTTTTTGAGAAACACAAACCAAGCAAGGCCGAAGAGTTCAAGATTGTGAAGACCCCTCTCTCTCTCTCTCTCTCTCTCTCTTTCTCTACCTCTGCCCAACGAGGGCTTGTTTCTCGGGGGAGTTTCCACAGAAGAGAGGAGACAGAGAGACAGCTGTAAATCAAAACGAGGAACAGCGTTGTGCTCGATTTTGCACTTTGGCCCAAAATATTTTGTAGTATTTTCAATTTTGGCCAATCCAATGAAAATTTTCTATCACAGACTCCAAAGATGCTATCAATTCGATTAAATTGACGTAAAATTTAAAATTAAGAGATAAAATTGAGTTAATTAAAACTATATGGACCAACAAAATGTAAGGATTACTGATGTAATTTACTCAACAATTATAAGCAATTGAAATAAATTGAGATAAATCCGTAAATTCATAGTCAAAATCGAGTTAATTTAAACCACAGTAACTAAAATTGAAGAAACTTTATTATTATACAAGAGAGCAATTTGAAATTTTATTTTTTCTGTTAAGTCATACAAAGCCGTTGATTAATTTTGTACATGTGACAAGTACACTTCAAAAAACATGTTATATTGAGTTTTTTTTTTTTATATATTTATTTTAAAAATTTTGAACATATATTGGCATTTTTTGTTTTTTCAAAAAATGCCATTAGATAGCTTAGAAAGTTTTTGACTAGTGACATTTCTCAAAATGCTATAAAATATTTGTTATGACACTTTTCACCTAATGCTATAAAAGTAACTTGCACCTACCTAGTTTACTGACATTTTTTAAAAAATGTCATTGCTACTAAAGTTTAGTGGCATCTGTTGATAAATGTCACTAAAATAATTTATTGTGTTATTCTTTTATAAAATGCCATAAAATCGATGTGACATTTCTTTATTGAAAATGCCACTAAAGCCATATATATTTGTGATTTAGTGGCATTTTTCTAAAACGAGTCACCAAATATTATTTTTGTGACATTTTTTTAAAATATGCCACTAGTGTAGTGCTACTAAAATGTGTTTTTGCTATAGTATTGTGACATTTGTTTATAAAAATGTCACTAGAGCCTTTTATGTTTGTCGTTTTGTGACATTTTTCAAAAACGTGCCACTAAACATTATTTTTATGACATTTTCTAGAAAGATGTCACTAGTATACTGTCACAAAAGTGTGTTTTTATTGTAGTGATATAAACAATAATATTTTGTGCATTAAAAAAATCATAAAAATGTGCACACAAAATTAGTCAATAACCCAAATTTATTGTAAACATGAGTCTCTATTTGATTGCATTATGTGATTTTCATCAGGCCGGCTCTAAACAAATTAAGGACCTAAAGTAACAAGTTAAAATGAGAGATTTTACAAAAAGTTTTTGTATGTTATTATCAAAATATTATTTAAAAGTTATTTTTTTAGGATTTTGACGTACGTAATTATCAATTAAATTTTCATATCAAGTTTTGTTAATATATTTTTTTGAATTAATAGTATAGTTTATCCATTTAATCTCTTTCATGTCATTTTGTTAACAATAGGTGCATTTGGAAACGACTAAACTTCTTTATTTTTTTATATAGTTTAATACTTCAATAAATTCTAAAAATTCTTGAAAAATTGTATTGTTTCATTGTCAAATTTCTCATCAATTTAAAAGAAAATGTCACATCAAAGAGTAAGAAACATTTGTAAAATTTGTTAGTTTGTATATCATTACTCATATTAGGCCCTGTTTGTTTACCAGATATAATATGAGATGGGTCTCACTTTTTTTTTGTTGTCTCCCTATATCTCGTGTTTAGTTGCTCCGGATATGGAGAGTTCAAATAGTACATGATACAAAATGAGATATGCAATACCACCCCCATGGTATTCTACATCTCCCACCGTCGAATATAACTCATATTTCATCCAAAAGTTAAAAATAATTACTCTCATCTTATCTCGTCCTATATTCTATCTTAACCAAACATAGTATAAGTGATCCCACAGTATATATAATCCATCTCATATCCTATAACATATTATATCACATCCTTATCTTTAGGTACTAGTGGTCACCCGTGCGATGCACGAGATTTTAGAAAGTCAATAATGACTAAAAAAAATTGTTGTTTGATTGTATTTCTTAATATTTTTATTTAGTTTGTGCATATAAATCTTATATCACATCATTAAAAATATTAAATATTTCACATTATTAAAAATTTTGAAAACTATCATACATGAAGTAAATCATAACATATATATGGGTTCGTTTGGGAAGTGGGTTGGCTTTTTGATTTTTTTTGGCTATTTTAGCCCAAGGCTAAAAAGCTTGGTTTGGGAAGAGCTTTAGCTTTTTTGGTTTTTGACTTTTTTGTGAGAGAAATAATGTAATAATTATGGGTTAGATGTGATGTTTTGTCTTATTAGACTAAAAAGTCTATTTTGTTTTTTGTGGCTAAAATAGCCAAAAAAATCCCAAGTTAGGCTTCCCAAACGAAGCCATGCTAATTTATCTAAGAATTACTTTAGACAACCAAAAATAGAGTAACAAAGGCATATTATAATTAATTAAAATAACTAATATATTAAATAAAAGTAACACTAATTTTGTTTAATCAATAGTAGGTATTACATTAACCATCCCATATAATATAATAAATTAAAAGAAAATTAATTTTAATTCCCATTATATTCGGTTAGTGGTTAAATTTTTTTTACATGCTATTTGTTTTATGGTTATATTGATTTATTAAACACAAATAGGTTTGGAATGATTAAAAAAAAAAAGGTTTGGAAATGCGTTAAACTTGAGTTGACAAACATAAAGAATATAAATATTTAAATTATTCAAAAAAAATTAACATTTTAAATATGAGATATTTTTCATTTGCTCAAACTCTGAATCTAAATAAAAAAAAATTAAAAAAAGAAGAAATTTGTGGTTTGTTCTCAAAGAAAATGAGTTCCTAAAAATAAATTTAATCATGAGTTATTTCAACAGGATAATCAATAATAAAAAATTAACTGATGAATACATTTAAAGTATAAACCCATACCCAATAAATTTTGATGTGTTCTTTATTTTCAATCTAACATCTGTACCAAAAAAAATTAAACACAAATAATCAATAAGTGAGAGAGTTACAAATTGATAGTAGCAGCGCTTTTATAAATATATTAAAAAAAATCCCAATTGAATGAAACATTATTAACAAAAAGATAGAAATAAGGAAAAATACAGATTGTAAAAAATAAATTTAAAAATAAAATAATAATATCCATTTATATAAACTCACTTTCTCACAAATGCAAAAACTCATGTAAGTACCCAATTCAAATGTAAAGCAAATATTTAAGATTTTTAGGCACCGAAAGGTATTAGAATGGCTCAATGTTGATTGCTTTCCTCCCATTCTTTTGTTCATGGTTTCTTTTGCAGAAACTTATTTTTATATTGAAAAGATTATGCTTAAACAAAGATATATATGGAATTCTATCATATTTAAAATTTGTAAGGATAATTAATTGATGATTTTAATAGATAAATATTAAGTTCAACTTGAAGATAAACTTTAAAAAGATTAAATTAAAATATATGAAAATTCTGTAACAAACTAACAAAAGATAAATATAGATCGTTCAAAAAATTATCTTTTTTTGAGATATTTATATCCCAATATTAATATCTTTTTTATTTAAATATTTTGTTATATTTTATTTGAATTTTTATTTTGCAGTTCAAATCTAAATAGTTATATTTTTATTTTTGTATATTTCTTCATCTCTATTTTTTTGTTATTCATATATAAATAATTACCTTTTTATTTTAAAAAGGGCAAATTACAAACACCCCCCTCGAGGTTTGGTGAAAATACAGATTCCCCCCTGAGGTTTGAGAAATTACATCCCGCCCTCTGAGGGTCAAATTTTCATAACAAATTAGGAGAAATTAGGGGGGAATCTATATGAAAATAAAAACCTCAGGGGGCAATTTGTTATGAAAATATAAACCTCAGGGGGCGGGATGAATTTCTCAAAATATCATATCAAAGTATAAATTATTCTCCATAGTTTGAATAATACTTGCATAGTTCCTACGTCATTTTAAAAAAATTAATCAAGATAAGAATGTCATAATATTATAAAAATTATATAAGAGAATAGTTTTAATCCATTTATAAACAGCCTTATAAAAAAATTTTAAAAAAAAACATAGCAATGATTTAATGCAAATTATTTTTAATAACTAATAGAAAGAATCTCAAATTATTACCTTTTATAAATATAGTGAAAAAAATTAATTTTGTGAGATTTTTGTGCTACCTTCTCTCATGTAGCCTTTATTATTTCATTAGTAATACTATTCTCATTCAGAGTGATAATTTTTTTTTTATTTATAATCTTTATCATTTGGTAGATAATAACGAATAATAAAAATTATCAAGAGAAGGTTAAAAATTTAATAGGAGATAAGAAGTTATAGATAAGAGCATTTCATAAGATAAAAAATTTAAAATAAAAAAAGATGATATGTGATAGAAGAAAAAAAATGAGTAAATCAAAATAAAGATTTAGATATATATGTTTTTGATAGATATATAGATTAACAAATCATATTTTTATTTAAATTTTATTATTTTAATTTTTTGGAAATCAATTATTTAATCTTTATCTTTGTCTATAGACCGCGAAATTAATTTTTATGAATTATTTATCAATTTTTATATGTTTATTTATCTATA